GCTTTTCTTATAACACATGCAAGACTTGTGCTCTGGACCACCACCATCACCACCTCTACCTGAAGGGCCTCACTGCTATTTCGATTGCTTTTAGAATCCAATCGATAAGAGGTCCAATCGAATTAGGCTCGTGTTAACAGTCTCTGCTCAATCCTCTTAGAATCTGAAGGTCGGGTAAGACAAATCCACAGGGTCCAGTGGCTCTCCTCTTTTAGATCCCTTCAGGGTTAAGCAGGGGCGTGTGTAGAGCATTTTAAATGGGGGAGGGGGGATGGGTAGGCTGGGGCACTGCCTCCAAATGAGCATGATGAGAAAAAAAAACATTGTAGAATCAATGGTACACTATTAAGAAGTGCAAACCTGAAAATGTTATCTTAGGGAGCTATTTCTACCTGATCTAACCCTTACATTTCATTTTATCACTGTAACCTAATGAAGGTTGATTAGGTTAATAATTTTGGGTTGAATAAAATCAAATAAATTACATGTTACCACATGTTGTACATATTCAATGAAGGAAAATACTTAAAGGGACTTCAAAGCTTTACTCAAATGAAAACACTTTCATCATCCTCATGACAGTACATATGGTTTTGCCTCATACCTAAAGGCTACAACACACACCAGTTTTTGTAACGTGCTGAGTTATACAATTATAACATATAGAGTGTATACACAATGTAGATAATAGATTGATTGCACAGTTTAGAGAGATTCATTGGTCATAACACAACTTTGTGTGATCGCAATGAACAAAGAGTGACAGCTTTTTAGTGATTATGAAGGGAGCGCTCTTTGAGAGCTTTCTATAATCCATTCAAAATGCAGAACTTTTGTTTTTCGGCCACACTCGTTGCAAAGTTTCGGGAATTACATCTGCATATTTATGCGGGATTCACTCTCAACATAGCAGTGATTGACATAGTGAAAACTATAATGGGTCAAAATATGTGAAAATGTGCATTAAGACTAGAGCACCCTCACTAATTTCAGAAGCAATCTCAGTGATTTATTTCTGGAACCGGGACTGGTTGATACACTTTTATTGTATAACTATACAAAAATACAAATGCACTAAATAAAATAATTTAATAAATGCATATTTACAATAAGCACTTAACTCAAATAAGCATTAAATAATAAAATAACTAGAGAAGGCTGACTATAATCAGCTTGCTTCCATTTAGTGGGATAAGCCTGCTCTTCGTCTAAATTAAAAAAGCCCTTCTGGTCTTGTTATTAACATAACTCGATAGAAATTGCCTAACATTAAGTATATAGAAGAGAAGAGTATAGCTACCTATATTGCCCATGCCAGGATCCGCCACTGCCAGATGCAGTGAGAAATAAAAAAAAAACAAGCCAATCACAAGATATCTGGTAGCGGGGCACCTGGGGTGGGCAATCAGATTTCTGTGGGGGTCGGTGCCACCCCTGGTCACCATGTAGACCCGCCCCTGGGGTTAAGGTGGTTTAAGCGCTCAACATGCATTCATCAGACTATGAAACCATCAGTTAACAGGTGACTGGATAATTTTTAAAGAACAAATTTCTTGTACTGTGTTTCATAGAATGTGTAGAGATGGTGATGATAATTTGATAGAATTTTTATGTGAAAATTTAGGAATACTTATTAAACATTTATAAGTCTATCATTACTGATCAATCCACCAATGCCAATTAGCCATTTAAAAACTTGGTTTCAGCCCATTTCAGATCAAAGATGACTGTTGTACTATTGAAATAACCATATACAAGCCAGTCACAACTGACTGTGTGGTTTCTGTCCATGTATTTGTATATTAATTTAGCAGCCTGATGTTTTACAAGAGTACAGATGTCAACACGTTGTTCATGTTCTTTTTTTTCAATCATTCAGTTTCAATATACTGTACATAAATATATTTTTGAGCTGATTTTCAATGCAAGTAACTGGTAATATCATGTAACCACCACTTGTTGTTTCAGAAAGTTACTGACCTACTTTTGTACACGATATTATCACACAAAAACAAAGCTATTTCAAAAAGGATATTTAGCTGGACCTTTAATTAACTGATTGAGTTCAGAGTGAGATTAGTGTCGAGTCTCTAATCAAGTTTAGACTTACTAAACTTGAATACTAGAAAGGGCTCTCACCATGAGTGTATCTTTATCATGTTGACGCTGCTTACGGCCAAAGCTCTAAGGACAAGCCTGAAACACAGGGGCTTACCTCCTTCTTTTCTTAAAGCCGTCTTTAGCTCAGGCTAATGCATGGCCTGGTTTCAGCACTAGGACAGTGAGCTGCAAAACAATGGGCAGAGCTCTGCAGCATGGCTGCTTTTGACTTAGTGGAAAACAGAGGCTAAAAGGTCACCTGAGAGGATCATTATTTTTAGTAGTGTTGCATTAAATTGACCTGAAGGAAGTCTTGTTCATGGAAATATGGGTTTTTGGTTTAGCTTGCCATTGTTTTGACACAGGGGTCCAATGTTTGGCTGGTTACCTGCAAAAGTTAGGCTATACACACTCTGCATGCAAAAAAACAAACATCTTTCTTCATTTACAGCCATTTAGGAGTTGGCTTGTTTTCTTAATTCTTATTCTTAAATACTACATGCTAATGTTGCTAAAAGAAGAAACCTCAATGGTGATAAACAATTAGAGCTCTTTATTATTATTATTATAGACAATGTAGTCATTTCCTGGTCAAATTCAACATAAACATCATATCGTCATAAACATGTTGATAAATGAATATTATCAATGAAGACTATTAAGTTGAGAGCAAATAAATCAACATTTACAATATTATATTATAAAAGATCTAGTTTGGAACACATACATTCAACTGAACGGTTCTTCAGAATACACATAATGCACACCATTGACATCAAGTTTCAATACAACTTCTGCAACATGTAGTTCTAGAATAGCTTGGGCAATGCAGTACAGTAAACTTGCAAAACAGCTAAACAGCAAATGTAAACCAGTCATACCCCATGTTAGGTGAAAAGAGAGCGACTGTTAGTAACTTACAAATGATAAAGTAAATAATAACCTGAATGCATTACCTCTCATGGTACAGCATTTTTCCTTATAAATTTTAGATTTACTTTCACATTATAGGACATGCTAATGTGCATTTTACAATGTTCTCAGCTGTGCACTTATGATCCAAATCATGTATTTCTGGTGTGCATGAGGTTATTTGCAACTTGCAGATTTATTTTTACACATTGTTTTTATTGGGCGATGTATTTATCTAACTCTACCACTAATGTTTTTTTTCCTATATTGACCGATAGTAAAAAATAAATACAAATCTGATAGGAATTTGAATGAAAGCACAGATATTTTCATTTCCCAAAGTGTGCTTTGACTTCCTGTGCTATATAAATATATCAAAGTTCTCAATATTACTGTATAAAGTTTGAAAATTGCAATGTTTCATCTATCTTCCATTATTGGAGCTGTGCGATTCGAACAGTGTGATAATTAGCTGCCTATGTGCATTCAGCAGAAAACTGTTGCATCCAGTCAAATGTTTACATATCTTTTAAAACATAGTATGACAAACACTACAGAGAGATGAGCATGATGTAGGACAACAAATACAGACAAAAAAAAAAGCCCACACACATATTTACAATTATGTACAAACACTTAACACAACAGATTGTGAACATTCCAAGGTAATTAACCTTTAGGCACTAAAAGGTGTACATTATAACACAAATAATTAGAATTCACATATGATCCACCTTTGATTGACACCCGGATTCTACAGCCGAACCACATAATTTCACCATTAAGAAGAAATTTAGATGCCAACAGAGTAAATCTGGCTGCATAAGGGGATTTCTTGGCTTCAACTGGAAAAAATTATATGACTTTGCTATCGAGTCCTGGCTAGTTGACACATCTTTCATGAACACAATCAATGGACTAACCACCACCACTCAACTTACACATCCATTAACTAGGGATGTGCAGGTCTAGTCGACTAGTCGACTAAACGGTACAGCTTCTACTAGTCGACACTGAAAACAATAGTCGATTACACGACAGAAAAAGAAAAAAAACATGATTTTATCATTCAAATTACCGTCATTTTAACATTGCATTTAAAACGTCCGCGCCGTCTATTCCTCTAACGAAGACCCACTTCGGTGGTGGTGCGGGATGTCCAGGCGCTTTCTGAAACTCTATCGGCTTGCTTTTCGTTATCTCTGCGTGCCTGCGACTTCGGTTCCTGCCGAGCGCGTTTTTTCAAGTGCAGGAATTTTATTGTTAATCGCCTCAGGTCCCGTCTTTCACCAGACCACGCTGATAATTTCACTGAACAAATAACGCATGGTCTGAGTAAGTAAAATGGGCATTGTTGCATAGTTTTGTTTTTAGACGATATAGCCTACACCAGGGCTGTCCAACCTCGGTCCTGGAGGGCCGGTGTCCTGCAGAGTTTAGCGTTAATCGCCTCAGGTCCCGTCTTTCACCAGACCACGTTGATAATTTCACTGAACAAATAACGCATGGTCTGAGTAAGTAAAATGGGCATTGTTGCATTTTGTTTTTAGACAATATAGCCTACACAAAGTAAGTTTTTAAAAGCCGTTTTAATGCTATCTCTTGATAAACCTTCCTATTGTTTTTGACTTGTTTTAATATGCTGGCTAACGTTATATGAAGATTAAGAATTCTGTCAGGCTATTGGTTGATTTTCCATTGTTCTGCATTTCCCCAGCTGATTTGAATAAATAAGCTATGCTTTGGCCGACGCTGAGTGTATGCTCTTCTTCTTTTTTCTTTTTAACGACCACCTAAAATGAAATTTGATGATTCATAGATTAAGTATTTCAAATATAGGCTATTATATATGCTACTCGCACGCACAGAGGTTTTTTTTTCTTACCATCTTTTGGGGGTTTCTTGCTTTTAGACTAGTCGACTAGTCGGACACAAAACTTTCGTTTAAACGACAGTCAAATTAGTCGTCGCGCACATCTCTACCATTAACCATACACAACTAGTCCTACATTTAGATAAAACATGCTTTTCTGTAAAATAAATCTGCAAAAATATGAAAATATATCAATCCCATACTTAACCAATGCAACCTGATCCCTCTCTCATAAGGAAGGCAGGTGATTCACCAGCAGTTTATGTGGAGTTTGTGAAAATAGCATTAAAAACTTTCCACTGCATTCCTTGTTGCAAAAACAAAACTTTTTTTTTTTTAAATACAATACAGATTTAACAATATAACTACTAAACGATGATATGCTTTAACTCCCCCAACCCACCCCACCCTGTAACTTTGATGCTGGTTATTTCTGCTAAGGATTAATCATTTTTGAGGTCTTTGAACACCTATATGGCATCCTGAAGCTGTCCGCTTACATGTGTTCAAACCTTTGACTCACGCTTTAGTCCAGGCAACTATAAAGATCTGCAAACTAGCTGTGCAGTTCAATGTGTGTACACTGTTTCAACACCAAAAAGATTAAAAAAAAACTGATTGGATTAAGTTTGTTTAACAGGAGTCCACTGCGGCAAATGAACAAAGAGGTGTTTTACTGTACAGTATTTGTTCAGATCTATATCAATGGTGCCTTTACTACTTGAATCATGTTAATGTAATTGACATACCGGGAAGTCTTAAGTAGCATATTATTCAAAGCACATGCAGAATTATATGGATGGCTACTCAGTATCATAATGCGTCTGCTGTGCTGCTGTCCTTTCCCGTCACTCATTCCACATGACATTAAGAAAATCTTCTATAAAGCTTTGTGTAATTTTGTAATTATCTAATATTTTCAGTGGAAATCCACAAAACAAGCAGTGCTTCAAGGGGTGATACCTGTATGGCTTTGGCTGAGAGGTTGAAGTATTCAGGTAGACAGGCATGCAGGTAGATTCATATAGTATAGTGTGTGTGTGTTTTGTCTAGATGTCCATGTCCACAGGTCTCAGATCCCCCGTCTTGTGTTCCTTTACCCAGAGCTCTCTGTCTTTGGCAGTATCCACACTCTGCAGAAGCTGGTCCACTGGCTCCATCGTCTAAGAAACAAATCAGAAAAGATTTTTGCAACCACATACACTGCTTAAATATACATTAAATTAAATTAAATTAAATTTATGCATTTAGCAGACGCTTTTATCCAAAGCGACTTACAGTGCATTCAGGCTATACATTTTTTTATCAGTATGTGTGCTCCCTGGGAATTGAACCAACGACTTTTGCGCTGCTAACACAATGCTCTACCACTGAGCCATAGGAACATTACTATCCTTCAAAAGTCTGGGGTCAGTAAGCTATTTTATTTTTTTCTATTCAGCAAGGATGCATTAAATCGATCAAAAGTGACAGTGCTGCCATGTACGTTATAATGTTACAAAATATTTATATTTCAAATGAAAGCTGTTCTTTATCTTTAGGATCAAACCAGCATATTAGCATGATTTCTGAATGATCATGTGACACTGAAGACTGGAGTAATGATACTGAACATTCAGCATTTCACATCACAAGAATACATTTCAATTTACAATATATTCATACAGAAAACACTTTTTTGAAATATTTCACAATATTACTGTTTTTGCGGTATGTTTGATCAAATAAATGCAGCCTTGGGGAGCATAAGAGACGTCTTTCAAAAACATTCAAAAAATCTTACAGACACAAATTTTTGAACGGTAGCGTATGTGGTCACAAGGTCATTTTAAATCAATTATATAATAATAATGGGTCATTCTCAGCAAAGGGTGCCATTTGTGCCAAATTTGTGCAAGATTTTGATATTTATAATTTTAGTACATTTTAGTAAATTCTGGTAGCATCACTCTGGTGTGATTATGTTACATTTTACATTATAATTGAATTGACATTTGACATTTTTCTTTCAAAACATTTTTTGTGCCAAACCTGTTACATTCAAAATGTTTTGAGATTGAAATTAAAAATGTGTAGCCATTTATATTTTAAATTAGTTTAAATCAAAATGTAGATATTTTATATAATCTATTAAAGTGTAAATGTAATGAATGGGGACATGCAAACCTGGCCAATATTCAGACAAAAATGAAAAATCATGTTTATTATTTAAAGTTTAATTTCACACTAACTGATAATAAACGCTTATTGACGCTAATAAAAGTCATTTTAATGGGTAAAAGCTCATATAATGTGTTTAATTGTGTAGAATATGTGTAGAATTTTTATGTATGCTCAGTATGTTCATGCTTGTAAATGCTTGTAAAATAGAAGAAAAAAAAACAGTAATAAAGCCACATAGTCTTCAAATGTGCATGCTCAAACATACAGGTGCATCTCAATAAATTAGAATGTTGTGCAGATGAGCTGAAGGCCACTGTCAAAGAAACCTGGTCTTCCATACCACCTCAGCAGTGCCACAAACTGATCACCTCCATGCCACGCCGAATTGAGGCAGTAATTAAAGCAAAAGGAGCCCCTACCAAGTATTGAGTACATGTACAGTAAATGAACATACTTTCCAGAAGGCCAACAATTCCCCAAAAATGTTTTTTTTATTGGTCTTATGAAGTATTCTAATTTGTTGAGATAGTGAATTGGTGGGTTGGGTGGGTTTAACAAAAGTTAAATGTGAGCCAAAATCATCACAATTAAAAGAACCAAAGACTTAAACTACTTCAGTCTCTGTGCATTGAATTTATTTAATACACGAGTTTCACAATTTGAGTTGAATTACTGAAATAAATGAACTTTTCCATGACATTCTAATTTATTGAGATGCACCTGTATACAGTAACTCAGTTTTAAGAGGTTTAAGTCTATTTTGGACACTTCATCAAGTGTCACAGGAAACACGTCCATTAAGGCTGAGGTCCTGATTGAGATCCATCTGCTAAACATACTCAGACTGATGGCAAGTGTTACACTGTGAAGTTGTGAGCACTGGCAGCTAGTCTCCTGTGAAGACAGCAGCTTTCACTAGCACACCCCAAGGTCTCTGGAGCAAGTGTTTACACTCTGTTTGCCCTGAAACACGAGCTGTGTGGATTTTTAATGTGTCTTTTAACATGATAACCGAAATCCACACATTATTTTAAGATTATCTTAGCAAGCACAAATACAGAGGAATGGAAGCGTTTGAATTTACAGTACAAGAGTTATTTGCTGAGATAGCTTATACACTATAACAACTGCTTCCATTTATTTTTTACTTTTATTTTAATTTATTTTATTTTTTTTTACTTTGTATGTTTTAATCTTTCAAACATAAAAACGTATTAAGACACTTAAAAGTTTATGTATATCTTTGCTTTATATAATAAAATATCAAACCTATTGCACTGAAAAATGATTGGTTTAACAATTTTACGCGGAAATTGCTAGTAAATTTCACATTTACCGTAAATACCAAGTAATTATGGCAAGTAGCACATTGAACATGAATTATGAAATAATAGAGTATTTAAAAAATAAAACAAACACACTTTTAACAAAAAATATATCCTGTCCAAATCAAGGCTACATCTATATTAATCTGGATATATTTGAAAATGGCATTATCGTTTTGAAACGCTCTCCATCCACACTACCGTTCTTAAGTGCTTTCCAAAAGCTGCATGTCCACACTGAAACATCTGCAAATGTTTAAATCACCTTGCAGCACATGTGTAAAACATCATTAAATGTAACTTTTGCGACATTATTAAAGAAACAGTTCATCCAGAAATGAAAATTTGAGGGTGAGTTAATTTTTTACAAATTATTAATGTATGTGTGGGAACAATATGTATCACATGACCAAACATGAATCGATGTTTTCAATTACCTCCATATCACAGTCCACACTACAATGCGAAAACAGCCTTTTCAAATGTATCCATTTGAGACCGTCTTCCAGTGTGGCCGAAAGGCCAAAACTTATTTATGTGGATGGATTGACATGGATATAGCCTAAGGTGGAGAAGCATCTGAACACTTTCTGGATGTCAAACGTTAGTGGATGATGTTGACAGTTAAAGTGATTCTCTACACCTGCGGTTCCTCTGCTAGGACACATAGGTGAACCTCAGGAGAACTGATTTCATACATACATTAAAATCACCAAAACACCAGCTGATTCAGTCACTGAGCACAAATGTCTCAGAAAAGTGAAACTGTTTCTGAGAAAAGCTTGTGCAGCATTTATTTGCACTGAGAACAGAGCACATGATAAAGCTCATGTAATGAGATTCTCAGATCATATGAAAGATAATTTGAAAACCGCTTTAATAAAATTCTAATGCAGTACAGATAGCTGCAGATAATATCTGAATATGAAGCAAAGTTGGGTTATGAAACTGGGTTCAGCTGGAACACACTGCTGTTACTCACACTTTGGTTGAACATATCCGTCTCATGCCGCAGTGTGGTGTACTGACGCAGAAGCTGCTGTATCGTCTCTACCCGCTCCAACTCCAACCTCTCCAACTCCTTCAGAGTGCAAACACAGACAATCACTGATCTAGGATCAGTCTATATTACTATTAGCTGATGGCTCTGACACAAATCAAATTCATTTTCTTCATGCATGGTGAAATTCATTATTCATAATCATGTATAAACCTTTCAAGACAGACTTACCATGAGCACAGAGATTAAGCAATGATATACAGGTGCATCTCAATAAATTAGAATGTCGTGGAAAAGTTCATTTATTTCAGTAATTCAACTCAAATTGTGAAACTCGTGTATTAAATAAATGCAATGCACACAGACTGAAGTAGTTTAAGTCTTTGGTTCTTTTAATTGGCCACTGTCAAAGAAACCTGGGCTTCCATACCACCTCAGCAGTGCCACAAACTGATCACCTCCATGCCACGCCGAATTGAGGCAGTAATTAAAGCAAAAGGAGCCCCTACCAAGTATTGAGTACATGTACAGTAAATGAACATACTTTCCAGAAGGCCAACAACTCACTAAAAATGTTTTTTTTATTGGTCTTATGAAGTATTCTAATTTGGTGAGATAGTGAATTGGTGGGTTTTTGTTAAATGTGAGCCAAAATCATCACAATTAAAAGAACCAAAGACTTAAACTACTTCAGTCTGTGTGCATTTAATTTATTTAATACACGAGTTTCACAATTTGAGTTGAATTACTGAAATAAATGAACTTTTCCTTGACATTCTAATTTATTGAGATGCACCTGTATGATACAGAATCCACAATATTTCATCTAATCTTTAGGATGTTGCATTACATTTCTAAATTCCTGGTAAAGAACTACACTACGCATAATCATTAAGAGAGATCCACCAATCAGAGAAGCTGAGGTTAGCAGCAACCCATACACTCTCTCCATATTTACATTTTAGTACTGTACAAATCAGAATATTTTCAGTAAATCAAAAAAACTTTAAAAATATATTGTTTTATACTTATAATAAATTACTATCAGTCAGTAGTTTTATATTTATCATTTGATTATGGCATATGCAGTGCTTCATGGAATGTGTAGTTCATTGCCTAATCAAAGAATTAAATGTCTTTATTTTATTTTATCTAAATTTAAATCAAAATCTGTGATGAATCATTTCAAAGCTGGTTGGTTTAATTCATGCTTACAACTCTTTTTTAAAGAATTCAGATTCTATAAAGAAAATAAAGTGGGGAAATATAGAGCTTGGAATTATAGTTTTATCTATTACTATTATTAATAACAGTACATGAAATTATTTATTGAACATTAGTGTGTTTTTCCGATATTGCTGTTGCTGCTATTTAGTAAAAGCAATAAGCAATTCAAATTTGCGCATTACAGTTTTACCACAATTAAAAGATGAATAACAAAAACAAGAATAAAAGGTGTCTTATGGATAATATATTAATAAAAATGGTAAATGAGCCTCATAAAGAAGAATCATTAAGGATATTCAGAAATCATAATAACTTCATATGCATGAAGTGTCATTTTGCACAAGGAAACTAGAGTAATAAAATAATAGAAACAATTACCAGGCTTGTGGTGACCATCTCCTCAAACCACTTTGACTGAGCCTGATTGTAAAGGTCCACACAACGCATCAGATCATCACCTATTCAGATAAAACACAGAGAGAGTCATTATAATCATAGATGCAGTTACAAAAAAATTAAATAGAAAAAAATGTAGTGTGGTTCATGCTTAAAACAAGTGGGGAAAAAACTGCCAATGTAACAAGACAAAACTTGGATTTCTGGAGCATTTCAAACTAATAAACATATGCAAAATATATGACAAAATACATATGAAAAATCTTTCAAAATCCACAAGAACTCATGAAGTTAAATTAAATTAATTTGAGCTATTCTTTCCAAAGTATGCAAGTGTACACTGCATAATTCATGCAATCAGATGATCATTCAATATGGTTTTTATTTTCACATTTCCTGAATCAAGCTTGTCTTGATAGTGAAACAAGACTTTGCTTCTCAACTGAATACATTTTGTTTTAATGATATGATATGGTAAACCAGTCAAAGATACCGATTTATTCAATTTTTTATTATTTAATGTTTTCTTATTTTATCAATGCTTGACTTTACCAGCAGGGATCAGTTTTAACTCATTTATTAGTATTTGTATCCCCTTCTGTAACACAATAATCACAGGTATCATTTAAACTCAAGCTGTTTACCAGGAAAGGCTGTTCCCAAACAGAACTACTGGAGTTTACAATTACATGCATAATTAAAGGTAAACCGAGGCAAAAGGAGACAGACATGTGAGATAGAAAGAATATCGACATCTTGGAAGAAAAAAAAAACCTAGATCGCTCCATCTATATGTAAATGAGCTCCAGGCTTTAAAGACATTTGCATTAGTGATTTGAGCCATCATGATTACTGAAGGAAAATGGCGTTTGATTGCCGCAAGCCCGCCGGCTGCTCCTTCGTCGAATCCGCCGGCCATGCCATTTTCAAGCCCGCCGGCCGTTCCTCACTCAAGCCCACCGCCGCTCACTCTAGCCCGCCAGCCGCTGCTCACTCAAGCCCGCCGTGTGTGACACTGCCACTGATGATTCAAACGCGAGTTTTGAGCAGAGTAGTGCTTGTTGTTTGTCGTTTCTCTGATCACAAATGCAGACATGGTTTTATGTTTACGCGGCGCGATGCAACGCAACGTGTAAAAAAACAGTGTAAGTCATTATAATCCGTAATTATGTCCCCACTGGATGCAACAAATACCTTGTTAATAATGGGTTTTACTGGTTTTGTCTCGTCGCTCCGGCCGGACAGGGCATCACAGTATAGTAAGGGGCGTAACATTTCCGTCACACGCTTGAGGTATTCGGCCAATCACAATGCACTGGATAGCTGGCCAATCACAGCACACCTCGCTTTTCAGACCGTTGAGCTTTGTAAAAATCGACGCGTTTCAGAAAGGCGGGCATAGAGGAGAAACAATAATGTACAGTATGTGGAAAATAATGTGTTTTTTTAACCTTAAACCACATTAAACACATTTCATTACACCAAATACACAAAATAATGTTCTTTTTAGCAACATCATATGACCCCTTTAATGTTTGGCCGTTGATTTATAGTGGGAACTGCGACTTGCTCAGCACGTGGGAGTTTGAGAAAGAGAGACACAGATAACATCATACAGGGCTTTTCTACTGAGCTCAGCTGCAGAGGAAAACACTGTAAAGCTCTTGGCAGTGGCACAATTAAAAACAATCTCCTGCAGTCAAGCAATGGAAAAGATCTCTGCAAACAAAGAAAATCAAAGCTGACTGAATCTAAAACACCATTTGACACTGATATCTTACAGCATAATTATCACATGGCTTATTGTAGCAGGAGTGATTCTAATTAATAACAAATGTGTTCAATAATATAAACTAGACATTTACATCGTCTTTTTTAAATTTGTGCTAGAGTTTTGTGGCTGGATGCCAGCGTGTTGCTTTGCATATGAATTGCTAATGTATCCTGGGTGGTTATTGGGATGTTGCTTACTTGTTGAAATTTAAAAAAAAAATCTCTATAATATTCTGGTCTTTAGCAAGTTCCTCATTCAGTGTAAGTCTAAGGCAAGGTTTTGCAGACCCCTAAATATAATCATCTCCTTTCGAGAGACACCCTTCCTAAAATCTAAAGGCAATTATACATTTTCTTGTATAAAGCCCCTTTTATACAGTGTGAGACAATATACAAATTCCGTCATACTTTAGTTTGGGGACCAATTCTTATGGGGTTGGATTAATGCCGAGTTCACACTGCACGGTTTTAGCCCGATTTTTCACTCGCCGACAGGTTTTGCGAAATCGCTGACAAATGCCCGAAATCGGAGGCAAATCGGTGCTCGTTCACGCGAGTGACAATCACGCAGTGTGAATTATCAAAGATGCGATCTGAGGGAATTGCTGACGTGTCGCCGACGCCCTCAAAATATTTGGTATGATAAATATCTGGAGCTGTCGGCGATTCACAATCACGCTGTGTGCAATGATTTCTGACTACATCAGCGATGACCTACAGCCAATGAGAGACCAAGATACAGGGCAGAGGGAAGTTCGGGAAGGAGTTATAGACCAGAATATCAGTATTTTAATAGATATATGAACAATTATATCATACAGAAACAAGCACAAACATTTGCTTGACCAGCCACAACATCAGCATAACAGTTACTGCAAAATTATTTACCTCCAACTCTCTTTGCAGAACACCCAATCCCTGTTCCCTGCATCTCCCTCCTGCATAATCTGTTTTTCTTTTTCTCCTTGTAGCTGGAAATCAGCTCACAGACAATTTGCGGGCTATATATATTTTTTTTAATAATTCCAGTCTCGCTCGGGAACTCCGGTCTGACGCACGCGGGTTCTCGCGATGATCTAAAATATGGTCAGGCAGAATAAGGCATTAATATGTGCTTTATAAGTACTAATAAACAGCCAATATGCAAGTCATATGCATGCTAATAAGCAAATAGTCAATAGTGAGAATTGGTCCCTAAACAAAAGTGTTACCACTAATTCACACAAGTGTGATATTATAACATGTTGTTTGCAAAATAAAATGACTGCCTTGAGTGTATACTGTAACTGTATTGGACCCAAACTTTATTACCCGCTATTTATTTGTATACATTTTACAAACTCCAAGGAGCAAGATAAGAGTGACAATGGTGGCAAATTGCATTGAAAGCTATAACATATTTATAAATATAAATAATTCTTTAATGTGAATTTTTTTCTCTCCTTACTGTTAAATTATTTGGTCTTTATTTCTTACTCTCCTGGAAAGAAAATGAAATAATAATAATATAAATTTGGCAAATTTGTCATTTTTTTGTGTTAACATTTAAGAAATATATAAACGTTAATTAATCTGACATGCCTGAAAACTCAATCAATCAATCAATCAATAATATTTCTCAAAGCAGCCACTTGTGGATTGCAAGCCACTTGTCACCCATTGTATTGTCTGCCAGAGAGAGAGAAAAAAAACAATCAAAATAAGATTACATATTTTATTTGTTTATCTGCATGTCAAGTGACAATTAATCGGCATTAAAGATACTTAGTGCTTGTAATACCTAACCCTAAGTACAAAACATGTTATATAGTGGTACTTCCTGTTACTTTGAAGTGAGTTCATTGTTATGCACATCGCATAATGTTGCAGTATTCGGAAATTGAATAGTGAAGCAGGAACTTGTCTCACAGTGCTGTTTAGTCTAATCCACTCAGTGTTGTGGCTGTGCGTGAGTCAGTCATGGTCATTTGGTTCTCTGTGCTGATGGAGTCAGTCTATAAGCACTGAATAAGACACCATTAGGGTCCTCAATAATGCACCAGTCACTCAGGCCAACAGGTTGAAGGTGGAGTGAATTCTCCCCCGTGACGCGTCCTACCGTGTGAACCTCGGGGCTGCCAGGTCTTCCTGCATTAGGGATGTGTGAGTGTCCAGCTCAGGACAAGTCCGGCATTGATAGTAGGTGTTCGGAGCAATAAGAGGCTTGGCATGCTGATCATCAGCTCCCACAAGGCCCATTTTCCCACTGCAAAAATAGATCATTACTCCATGCCTTTCCCAACTCTGTCTGGAACTAATACGGTCTGGCTCCTCTTAAACACAGACTCCTGGGATTGAGCCAAAGTCCTCTTCCATCCCCTGCACTGTTCTCTCCCATCCTGTTTGTCATGCCTCTCTCCCCTCGCTCAAAAACACAGTCTCATCTTCACAGTCTCTGCATGCTACAACAATGACGCCCCACGCAAGATTTCACCTCAATGAAAGCTTCTTACTCAACACAAAAACGATGGACACCAGATTACGGAGGGTTCGTTTCATTTGTAATCCATCCTGAGTGGAAGAGAATGGCTGGAAGTTTTTAAAACGAGAGACTACGGAGGAAGTCAATCCTAGAGCAATGGAGCAGCCAGGAGTTTGTCTGCCAGTGCAGTCTGTTACAGTGTTATGACAGCTGGCAAACTGACTGTGACTTGAGGATTCTCATAGTTGGAGTATAATTGCACACAGCTTCTTTATCCTACAAAGCCTACTGTATCATATTTGATATGCAAATTTGGCCACTCTTTGTCAACCTGATCAAAACTGTGTGTTTTTTTAATGAAGTAAACATGAGAATAACTTTATATTGTTATTAATATTTCAAGATGAACAATTGATGAGAAACATTTATTTGTACATCTCTCATTTATCAATTCATTGCATTATATGATTAAAAAGACAGAAAAACAATAAAAACTACAAAGCTTTGATCGTAAAACTAAGCATTTAAATATCACCTTACTGTACATATTATTGTCCGATACAGTGGCAACTGAAATTTATATGCATTTTATGTAAGTAGTCAGTTATACTTACATAAAGATCTCATTGATTTATATTATAAATTCAACTTTTTGAACATATAAATATCAGCATTTACACCAATTTGCATATTTTTGCTCTGTTTGGGCGTCTGAATAAAATAAATGTATTTTTTCATCCTCGTGTATGAGCTCCACATGTATTATACTATATGAGCCATAAAAGCCTGATCTGTCATCTATCAAATATGCTACAAACCATAAAAAACATACACAAACTAGTGGGGCTAAAGGAAGAGTGAACATAATGAATATTCTGTCAAAACCTACTCTCATGTCATTTCAAACCCATACGACTTCCGCAGAAAACAAAAGTAGATTTTTAGCAGAATGACCAAGCTGCTCTTTTCCATTAAATGAAAAAATTTTGCAACTACAGGTTGTCAGGCTCCAAATGTGCTATATTTGAAGTCCTCTGAAGCCATACAATTGCTTTGTGTGAGGGCCAGACTGAAATTTAAGTCATTATTCCTTGAAACCCTTCCCATCCACTGTAGTTCTCAGATATGTTCCTTTAATAAATCGTCATATTTTTTGGACTATAGAGCCAAAATATCACCCCTGCAAACTTGAACTAACATTGTAACTCCTCTTAATTTCAAAACACAATGGGTTTAGTAACATCTTGGATGAAAGGAAAGTGTCCTCAGGTTTAGTGTAGTAAGACCATACTAGCTCAGGCTTAATGGACTGCTTTGTACTGATGCTCTGACCTGCTTGTGTGGATTTCCGTCTGGCTTTTTTAAAATCCTCCTCTGTTTTGTTGCTCAATTTGATCTCAAGCTGCTGTGTTTTCACCTCAAGATCCTTCTGTCTGTCTGCTAGAGCCTTCCGTGCCTGCAAAACACAACAAAAACAAGCAATGTAAAGACTGATCTTTAGATTAAATACGGTACAAAATATCCATAACAATTTTTTAGGTGCCTAACCTTCAGAAAACAATGTTGACCATCAACTTCAAAAGGTCAAACCAAAACTTGAGAGATTTTCATTTCATTTTCTATATGATTTGCATTTTTTTCAAACCCTAAATTGAGACCGTTTAAAACCCAGATTTGTGTGAATTTGTAATTTTCTATTTTCTACCAAGTAAAAGCTGGAGCAACTACTGTTGTTAATAGATTTTCCCACTATGCTGTATACAATCACATAAAGCAATGAATCATATGAGCTTCACTGTCAGCAAACCCATTGATAAATGCTGCATTGCCAGGCAGTTAAACTGTGCTCAACTTCGATGCATTGCAGTGTTTCCCCTGCCATTATTTTAGGGGGGCGGCCCCCTTGAAGGTCAAGTTAATTTTATTTAAATATATTTTCTCTATAGCGCCAGATCACAACAGAAGTCATTTAAAGTTACCCTTCTGATAGAACGGGTCTATACCTTGTTCTTTTATTAAACAAACTAAATAGCCTTATGTTATTTATCTTATTTACACGAGGGCATGTCATTTCGGTCTCTACGTTATGGCTCTCTGTATCACGCATAGCGGAGTTCCGCCCCGACGTGCGCGCACACACAAGTGAGCACACTCCCACTCCCACTAGTATTTGTAAATATTAAGCCACAAAACAACTATTTAAATATGAATTCTGCGTGTCTCTATGTTAATGAATGGCGCAGACGCGCGGTTTTGTTTACTAACAGTTACTTATGTACGTAATAGGCTGCTACTACTACTACTAAAATTATTAAAACCTTATTTTTAAGGAATAATCATACAATATTTCTTCAATGTTTTAATTGTAATATTAAATTACCTTTATTTAAAAAAACAACAACATTTGTTTAATTTTCATTACTTAAAAGATAGATTAAATGAATGTTTTATGCCTTTAAGAAAATGTAAATACACAACACAGAATTTCTGAGCAAAAAATCATAAGGCTATTGTAAGAATAAATTAAACTTGTTTTTATGCTTTCAAATAATTAGACATGCTAAAACAGAATTTGGTAACAATAAAACATAAGGTTGGAAAAAATAAAACATTTCCTAGGGCCCTAAACATGTAATTTTTGTTACATTTTTTATAAATTGATGTTAAATTGTTTAAGTTGCATGATTTTAATTAATTAGACATGCATTTTGATTAATAACATTTAATTTAACCATTAAAAAGGAGTCCAGAAAAAAAAAACCAAGCCGTAAACCTAGGGGAAACACTGCATTGCCTATGGTCACTGTTGCTCATGTTGCCGGAAATGGTCACTTCTCATTGGAAATGAATGATGGATATGTGGCCTGGGGTCCATGAACACAAGTGAATCACTCAAGGCATCATTCTGATGTGTTCTCATTTCTCATCCAGCCATCTGCCATGCAAAAGTTCAAACAGACATGTCAACACAATGTCTTCTGGGAAACATTTTAGAGCCCTTTATACCAAAGAAAGAAAGTTTAATTGAATATGCTTGACAAAATCAGTATGCACTCAAAGTTCCCTTGTGAAAAAGAAGTAAACTTTAGCATAATTTCAAAAAGAGCACTTATTACGGAAATAATGTACTTTTAACAGAATATACTGAAGTGCAATGTTTTCTGACACGTAATTATTGCAATTAAAAGAAAATGTATTATAGTTTACATTTATAGTAAATGCAATTAGTTGAACTTAAGAGTGTTTTTGACCCACCTTGTTAGGACTTACATTATCTTTATATAAAATTTCACAATTACTTCTACTGTCTGTGAAATATGGTTAAAATCTACTGATGAAAATACTGACAAGCATTTAAATTTGACAGTAAATTTAAATTTGCTTTAATGTCATTTCTATTGAAAAGTGTTTCATCAATTTAAATATATTTGTAATTATCAGTTTCAAAAGAAGTTGCAATTAGTATATTTACAATATATTAACTTTAAATGTAATATCAAATAACACAATACAGTTAAATTTATAACCAAGTACTTTACATGTGCTTTAGCCAATGTATCAAAATATGTGTACTTCTTTAAAGCATGACAAAAATGTATTATAACATAAAGATTTAAAATGCATTTTAAATTAAAACTTTTAATTTGACATTATTACAAAGTGCACTTTTTAAAAGTGTACTTAAGTGTGTTAAGAAACAGTCACGATAGCGTGCTCTCTTTATGTACAGAACACTTAAGTCGGGCTGAAACGATTCCTCGAGTAACTCGAATACAAAAAAATCATCGAGGCAAATTATGTGCTTCGGGGAATCGTTTAGTCCATTTACTAGGGATGCACTGAATTTTCGGCCGCCGAAAATATATGCCGCGCCGCCCAGCAGTGTTCAGGTTTCTCTCTCCTCCAGCCGTCATCACTGCGCCGTGTGACGTTCCGTTCAATATTCCGCTCTGTCGATGTGCATTCTGCTCATTTACCGCTCATGCTCACCGGAAAAGCTATGTCCGCTCAAATACCGCGGACAAGAAATTTTTATGTAGTATACTTGTTCCTGTTTGCAGTACTGGGCAACGCTGGTAAAATCTCGTTCACTGATATGCTCCCCACTGTGCTCTGCTCACATGCGCTGATAATAATAGCTTTGCCAGGGTTTTTATATTTTTATACATGTTTACTTGATATTTCTGTACACAAAATCATAATTTCTATTCATTTCCCACTGATTTACGTGATTTGATGAGCATTAACTCATATTACGCGATCATATCTCTATGAATGAATGAATGGCAGAAACGCGCGTTCCCTCTCAAGCTTTCACGAGACATCACAGAGACATTTCTCCATTATGGGAACTCCTTCCCTTCCAACCTTTCCTGAAGTCCTATTGGCTCACGCCAGTCCAAATGACTGGCCAATTGTCGCGAAGTATGCAAATCGCATGCAAATACTGACGCGCTCGAGAGGCAGTATAAACGGTTTTGCTCATCAGAGGGCGGAGCCTGGATTGCCGCTCCTCTGCAGCGTTCAGGTGAATATGACATTTTTCTTCAGATGCCAGATGAGTCCGTCTGCCCTCTATCAGTGGTGGACCATAAGGACTCTGGTGACGAGTTCATGCCGACAAAATGTCTGCATTCCTCTCACCCATCGAACCTGCAGAACATCAGCCCGGCTTCTCACGCCCCCCTTCCATGGCGGAGCGGACAGCCGAGTGCAGATACTGGAGCGAAGGGTTCTCATGTCGCCGCAGATGCCGCACGACCCACTGTCTAAAAAGTGTGCAGCTCCCCACCTGGGAGCGGCGTTCTGCCAGGCGCGAATTCGTACCAGTACTCTGTTCTCCCGTTTGGGCTGGCTTTGGCCCCGCGCATTTTTTCGAAGTGCATGGACTCAGCTCTCGCCCCCCCTCAGAGCGAGCGGGATGCGCGTTCTCAATTATTTGGATGACTGGCTGATCTTAGCTCAGTCACGGGACACACTATAGACAGCCATATAGACAAACTGTTTCGTCACTTGGAGTTCTTGGGGCTATGTGTGAATGTGCGTAAGAGCATTCTTGCCCCGAGTCAGTCTATAACGTATCTGAGAGTGTGCTTCGACTCGCTGGAGATGCGCGCTCGGCGGCCATTTTGTCTTCCCTGCACCATTTCAGGCTGGGCAGCTCTGATCACTTGAAGTAATGTCCGAGGCTGCTGGG